GTATTGTTTTTCCTATAATTATAGTAGTTTGTATGTACAGCATTATTGTTTAATACAAGCACATCAATGCATTGCAGAGGTCTAAGCTTCCTTGGGTTTATAACAAAAACCTTAATTGAAGCAAAGGAAAACATTGGCCAGCGTGAAACCTAACTAAAGTGGTACTTTTCTTAGGTTTGACAGATGTCTTCATATTTAGAAAGGTAGCAATGATCAATCTCCTGTTATAGGAAATGTATAGAGAAAGAATAAAGGCTGTTTTCCTGATCCAGTGGTTTCAGTGCTTTGCAGCATTAGCCTGGACAAAAATGCAAACCAGGAGTTCTGACTTCACTCTAAATTTCTGATCTGCACGCTTGGTCCAGACCTTGTCACGTCTAAATCCTTGGTACCAAACCTGCGGACCAGGGGCCGCATGCACCTCTTTACAACTTTTTGTGTGGCTCTTGGGGCCTCTGTAGACACTAATCTGTATTTGCCTATTGTCCTGTTATACCAATGATTTCTAGAAGTCTCATGTAATGTGTCTCCAGTCTCCAAAAAAACTTCTATAGCATGTTCACAGCCTTTGAAAATCATCTGCAGTGTGTCCACAGTCTCTGACCATCTCTTGTATCATACCATTAGTCTTTGACATAATATAATATATTATATATAATATAATTTTGTTATATGTCTGCTGTCCCTGACACTGAATATTCACTGTGTTTTAAGTGCAACCCTTTGGTGATGTTGGGGGCCGCACTTAAGACCCCCATATCAACAAAGTGGACCACCACTGCTCTAATTGGTCATGGATACAAGGTTTCATTAAAACAAGATGGGTAAAGGCAATAAATTATTCTGGATATCTTGTAAAGGATGCTGGGCAATGCACATATTAGCTTCGGAAACTGATGTAACATTTTTATAGTTATATAAAACACTATATATATATATATATATATATATATAATGTAAGCAATATCCAATAAGGAAGAGTCAAAGATTAAAAAAAATGAAAAAATCCTCTGACGTTATATAAGTACTGTATATCAATAACAAAGACTACAAATCAACTAGATGTTGGTCAGCAGCATGACCAACCACCCGTTCCTCAAATTGTTCTCAAAACCTACTAGGACAAAAATGAATGTAGCTATAGCAATATCAGATGGTAAATCAAGACCCATGTATTTGTCAGAAGCATTAATTGAGACTTCTTCTTAAAGGTAGCTATTTTGCATAGGAAGCACATGATTAGAATCTGCATTAAAGTATATGTAAACCAAAACAATTTGCTCACTTCTGAGCTGTCAAATCTACTACTGAAAACAAAAAAGGAAAAAAAATATATAATTTAAATATTTCTAATAAATATATTGATTTTAATTAGCCATCTGGTTATACTGTAGCTCAGTGTTTTTCAATCTGTTTTCAGTCAATGCACCCATTAAAATTATGGATAATCTCAAGCCACCCTTTAAAATTCTGCACAATCTCAAGGCACCCCATTCTAAAATGTAAAAACCTATTCTACACACATTCAGCACACCCAACATTAGAGGTGATTTATTCTTCCAAAGCAAATACACCTTTGTACACTGGTACTGACTAGTATTCCAGTGTGCCTCTCTGTTTCTCTCCCTCACTCTGCTAATTTGACAGAGAGGAGAAAACAAGGATGATGTGCATGCACCCCATGTCCTCCTTACCAACTGATGATGTCATTGGTTGTTGGGATGCCAACAGCTAGAAGGTCATAAAAGTGCACAATGAAATTCTGTGGCTTTGTGTACTAAAAGGAAGGATTGATCCACCTGCTGGCTTGTATACAATGTTTGGACATTTTGGCAAGGCACCCTGAAGAAGCCTGAAGGCACACCAGAATGCCTGGGAACCCTGGTTGAGAAAGGCTGCTGTAGCTGCATTTATTTGGGTACTAGCATGTTTTGAATGGATTTTGGGGAATTGGTGATTGGTTCGGCTGTTGAGCTATTCAGAGACCTAAGACAGCAACGTATTTACCATGAAGCACACAAGGCGTTTGCCTAGGGCAGCAATTTTCAGGGGGGCGGCATTGCCCTCCGGAAGAAGGAACACATGTGCCAGGGATGGAAACCTGATGAGGCTCCGCCATGGAATCCAAGGAGGCTGCGCACTGCTGGAGGGTGTAAGCTTCCTGCACAAGGAAGAAAAACATTGGGCTTGGCTCCAGAGATGGCTGGCTGCTTTCCGAAGAGATTAATGTCAGTGCTTGGTGGTGGTGGGGGCTGGCAGGGGGTGGTTGGCAGAGAGTGGTGGCGGCAGGGCCCAGGGGGGTTGTTGATTTGGTTGGCAGACAGTGTCAGCGGTGGGGCAGAGAGGGGCGTGTGGTTGGCGGAGAGGGGGGGCGGGTGGCAGGTGCCAGGGGGAGAGTTCTGGTGGTGGTGGGGGGCAACAATTTTAGTGTTTCCTAGAGCAGCACAACACCTATGACACATGACCTGAGCAGCTGTCTTTGGAAATGATAGTAAAACTATCATGTGGATCAAAATTCAATGTTTAAAAAAAAACTGTACAAATGCAGGCTTGGATAAATTCCAGTGGCACCAATTGGTATCACCTTGTTTAGCAAAGTAGAAGGGAGTTTATCGAACAGCAGTTTGGCACACAGACCCATATCAGCATACAGACATAAGCTCAGTAAGCCTAAAGATTATTTTCTAGCTGAAAAAGCCAATTTTTTGAATGCTAGTGTAAGGAAACCTAATAGGTGACATGAAAAAGTTAGCACAGCACAAGCACCAAATACAGATAACTGAGGATACACAGCACAACAACAAAAGCTCAGTTGGACATTTAGTTTAGGGCCTGACCCACACAGGCATATCTAAATACTCCTACTTATGCAATGTACTCCTAGGACCTGGCAGAAAAACCCAACTTGTTTTGGCATGTAATTATGCATGTTTATGGCCATGGCGTTTGGAAGTGTATGCATGTAAATTCTTTCTTTTAGCTAGAATATTAATTTACTCTATGCATTTATTCGCATTTACAACGATATGCACGCAAATTATGCCAGTAGGCACCTCTCCATATGCAGGTTTAGGGAATGTTTCTTATGCCCCTAATTTGAATCTAAATGCTACAATGAGCATGGACACATTGGCCTAAATAGAGCTGTATAAAAAAAATGAAGACCTCTTAACATGGCTATTTAGCCACATACAGCAGATTACAGATGCAAGAAGCAGTAGATTTTTGTGGCTGGAATGACTGATGCATGCAAATAGCAGCAGCCATTCTGCCTATATAAATTAATGACAGACTGACAGTGGCCTATTCTGTTTGCATGCAGTCCCACACCACAGGGTTACATGCGGTTAGGGAAGGAAGTTCAAGACTGGATGCAGTCAGCTGCATCCCAGTTTGGACATCCGCAGGTCACCCCTTGCTGCTATTTGCATGCATCAGTCATTCCAGCCACAAAAATCTGCTGATTCGCACCTCTGGAATCCGGTGTATGTGGCTAAATAGTCATGTGAGGCAGGCTTAAAGTGGCCTTGGTAGTGTGGTCCCAACTAGAACAAATGTCAGGATCTTCTATCTTTTATTAAACAATTCCCCTACAAGTGCTTTAGCATAACACAAATCTTTGAGTACAAACTAGCTTCTACATAATGAAAAGTGAAGCTGAAAAGATGTATTTTTTTTATGAAGGGGCATCTAATTGAGGTACAGTATATAGGAATAGGAATACATATACACTCACTGGCCACTTTATTAGGTACACCTGTTCAATTGCTTGGTAACACAAATTGCTAATCAGCCAATCACATGGCAGCAACTCAATGCATTTAGATATCTAGACACAGTGAAGACAACTTGCTGTAGTTCAAACTGAGGATCAGAATGGGGAAGAAAGGGGATTTCAAAGTAACTTTGAACTTGGCATGGTTGTTGGTGCCAGACGGGCTGGTCTGAGTATTTCAGAAACTGATCTACTGGGATTTTCACGCACAACCATCTCTAGGGTTTACAGGGAATGGGTCGAAAAAGAGAAAAATATCCCGTGAGTGGCAGTTGTGTAGACGAAAATGCCTTATTGAGGTCAGAGGAAAATGGGCAGACTGGTTGCTGTGACATTCAGGTGGTGTCAGAATTTGGTGTAAACAATTAATGGATCCATCCATCAACAGTTCGGGCTCAGAGTAGTGGTACTGATGTGGGGGATATTTTCTTGGCACTAGCAAGGTGTACATAATAAAGTGGCCGATGAGTGTAGGAATAGGCATTTACCCATGAATGTTTACAAATAGCATTTAATAAAGACTTTGTCATTATTGAATGTCAAACTGATTTGACTGTGCTTGTGTAAGCTGACATGTTTGGCAAGATCTAAGTGACATATTTATTTGTTGTGAAGTGGGCTGATATTGCTGCTGACTCTCTTACAGTTTTAGTAGCTTAAAGTGGTTGTAAACCCTTACATATTCCCTGTGAAGTGACTTGCCTCAGGTAATTCACAGCGATGAAACAAATGCTCCTACATAAGTTGTACCTGTTTATCTTCAGCCATCTCTCATCTACATCCATTAAAGTGTACCGTTTACAATGCTTTTCTGAGCTTCCAGAGGCACAGGGCAGGAATATGATGTCACACCGTACAGAGAGGAGAACTAAGTGTAATCTGAGACCTGAGAGGTGGGAATGGACAAACCCCATTCTACACATTCTCATAGGGAAACATACACAGCTGAGACTGTCAATCACAGGCTGTGTGTTGGAGGTCCCTTTCCCCACTCAACCAGTCAAAAATGACTCATGCAGATAGTAGAGAAATGAGGTAGCAGACAGTAATCATACTCAGTGATTTGCGGTGAGCCAAGCACGCACTATAGAAAGATATGCTTTGTTCATTTTTCATGTTAGAGATTTACAACCACTTTAAGACATTTTGTGATGACTCCAAGGAAGAGTGATGATCTGCATCAGAGAATAATGACAAAACATGTGACTGTTACAATGACCATTACCTTATTTACACCATCTGCCATGGCCTGTAGGGTCAGTTCTCTGGGCCCATCCACTGTCTTGCCATCGTCTGTGGGCCCCCAGCTTGCGCTGTAAATGTCTATAATTTGTGGCATATGACTGATTGAAGATGCCTCAATTATATCGGTCATAAAGGGCTGGTCTAGCATGCGAATACCTGCAATTCCATTTTAAAAGTTAATATCATATCAAACAGCAATATAAAAGTATAAGCTATTTATTACCAGCACAGTTAGCACCTCTGCCTAGCAGCACTACGGTCATCTGTTCAAATCTCAACCTTGGCACTACCTGCACAGAATTTGCTTGCGTCTGTTTCCTCTCATACTCCAAAGACTCCTAGTATGTGTATGTATGAATGTGAGTTAGGGACCTTAGAATTGTAAGTTCCTTGAGGACAGGGACTGATGTGAATGTACAATATACAGTATATATAATGGCACTATATAGTTTCCATTTAATAAATAAAATCTGTATATGACAAACTGATATAGTGGAGAGAAGCTTCCTGTAGCTGACCCTGTAAAAATGTGAAAGCTCCATCCAACATTCTTTGTTTCTGGGAAGGAGAATTAATTGTTTGTGAGGGAACTACACTGAATACGCACAAAAGGCTTAACACTATGAGGATGCTTAGTTTTAAAAAAAGTTATTGGATTGCATCCTTAGATTACAATATAGGAAGAAAGTGCAGAGTTCTGCAATTTTGGACTGACACAGAAAGTACAATTTCAGTGTCTCTTGTGCTAACTTCTCCTGCATGTAATGCATTGGACTGCATCTACTGCAGCTGAATTGTAAGTGCTACACACTTTCTATTACAAGTGATGTGCAAATGTAACAGCATGAACCAAATTAATGTCTAAGTGACATTGAGATGTGAGGCTAGTTTCTTTTCTTGACTGCCAGTTGCCTACTGCAATAACCGCCACTGTTTGCCCTTCCTCTGTGGAATGTATCAATCATATCTCTACCTTGAGGGATAGGTAACAAGAGCTTAGCATTCTATGGCCTTAGTTGCAGTATATGAAATCACCTATTACCAATCTAAGATGAGAAAGTGAAGGTAAAGTGAAGAACAAAGAGAGCATGGTAAATAACAACCTATTATTGTATTAGTTATATTTTGATTGAATCTAACAGATATAGATTTTGATTTTTAGTTTGAGTTCAACTCCAGGCAGATAAAACCACCAGTTCATACAGATGTGTATTCATTAAAAATGGTTGATTCAATTTTTAAAAACAATTATTGTAAGTTCCTAAATATGAATATCAGCTGATTTCCCTGTACAGCAGAGTTAGACTGGGAGCGAGAAGCAGCACAGGGAGGTAATCAGGCACTACCAAGCATTTGGATGAGGTGGAGAGGTAGAGTGATGACATCACACTCTCCACCTTGTCTAATAAGAGAACGCTTTGCTTTAATTCTGAAAATGCAGAGAATTCTCTAAATGAATGGTTGACCTTCTGTATTCACAGTATTTCAGGCTGGCCACTCAGCATGAGACCTGGAAGCAAATGGAGATATTTGGCGTAGCGGTGTCTACTTCAGTGATTTCCAGCTTGCTGTGTCATAGGACAGGTATTGTACATGCATAGCTACATTGGATCAAGCTGAACCTATGTATAACATGCCAATGCCTGAAATTGTTCTTTAAAAGTAGAGTCATTTGTGTAATTTCCAGTTAAATAAACCAAGTATCTGATGCACAACACATTAATTTCCCCAACTTCAGGTTGTTAGACGTTTGTCACTAAAAGAGATGTAATTAATCCTGCCAAATTTATTGTTGAAGTTATAGCAAATGACCATCTTTAACATACCCGTGACTTTTTGATCATATCAAAGCATATCAAAGCTTGTATAGCCAGTGCTAGACCAGCATACTTAATAATGATATTTCAAATTCCCCAAGTTTTCAGGTAGAGTCAAGTAAAATTTGTCTTAACAAATGCTCTCTGTGAGTTATTGGCAATATGTCATTGTTACAAATAGCATTCAATGTGCTGTGCTGGCCTTGAGCTTTTCCTCCAGTAACAGATCCTAAAAGCATAACAGCATGGGCTATTTCTAGCTGTTAAAAGATATTTGATTGCTTTATGTAGAGAAGCCAAACTGTTTTGCTCCTTAAGAGACAGTACTTGCACCTATCCTGCTCCTAGTTAACTAGCTTCAGGTGGTCAATTACAGATGAAAAAAATATTAGATACATTTTCAAAGCTGTTTCTTATTGTAAAGTGCCATTATGCACCTATCTTAGCCCACTGAAGTTTATTCTTGCACACAGATGTGCATGGATTAACACAACGTAATGACATTGTATGTATTAGGGAAAAACAGGAGCTTGTTGGATTGGGAGCTTCATGCATAGAGCTGAACTCCAGGCAGATATAAAAATACACAAATGAATGCAGTTATGCATTCTTTATGTAGCACTTACCCCCAATTGGGGCCACTGGTTCTCCCCCCAACAGCAAAGGTGCCATCAGCCACCCAAGCAACAATCCATCCACTCTGGCTTCAAACAACAGTCTAGAGTTGTCTTTTTGTAGTTTATTGTTGATAGAACTGGTACCTAGAGAGGTATTAGGGTATGGGACTCTTGGCATTGATACTTCCAAAGAAACGTTCAGCAATAGTTAGCAATCAGAGGACAAAGTTTTAGCAAGAGTAGCAACAGTAGCTAAGAGTAAACAGTCCAGGGCTCCCCAGCCGAAGATCTTGGGGCAAGTCTTTGGACATTTGGTTACCCCTGCGCCAAAGTGCAACATCAGTATCCCCAGGACAGTTGCCTCCTTCCAGCTTCCTCTGGACACAACCCAGTGAGTGAGATGACACCCCTCCAGACTGGATCCCTTGTGGTGTGGTTCTGCAGTCAGCTCTGAGCAAAGTCCATTTTAGCCTTTGACCCTACTACCTCGGAAGCTTCCTTGAGCAGTTGTGCAGTCCATGGGCTTCCAGGCAGCAGCAGCCCCTGCACCTCTCAAACACTCCTGTGGAGAAGGAACCCTGCTCTCTCAATGTGGACTATTTATAGTAAATAGTGGACTATTTATCCACACTCCAGCCCCATTCTGGAAAATACCCCTCCATGAATTGGCAAGGGGAAACAATCCAGCCTGTGAGACAATGAACAGGTCAAACTAAACAAACATTTCCCCTTAGATTACAAAGGAACCCAAAAGCTAAATCTGCCTATCCACCTTTTCTAGGAGGGTGCTACATCTAGTACTTTATGACATGTAGTTTTATATGCAGTTATGCGCCGATAAGGAACATGCTGACAGGAGGATAAAGCTAAAAAAATAACTCATTAGTTTTCTGCTGCTCCTTCACTTTCCATTAACAGACTGTGGGCAGGATGTGACCAGGCTATATTGCTTTAAGTGATAGTAAACACTGTTTGGTGACTTGTACATACAGGTAAGCTTATAATAAAGCTTACCTGTAGCTACAAGGAATTTCTCCTAAACATGCACCATTTAGGAGATATTTTTGTAGCCGGTGAAGTCAGCAATATATGCGCACTTTGCTCTTAATGGATGATATACCAAGCATGCTGCCGATTGAGAGTGCTCTGCCACAATTGTTGCGCAAGCACGGGAGTGATGTCATCATGGCACAGCCATTTAAACAGCCAGATCCTGCAAACCTGGAAGGAAGACCCTGTGAAGATGGAAGCGTTGTGGTGACAGAGCGCCACTGGAGGGCTTCATTTTAAGGTACGTCTTTCATAATGTGCTAGTATGTGATGCATGCTAGGACATTATACTCCAAAGACATGCTGGTAGGTAAATTGGAACTAGTATGCATATGAATGTGAATTAGGGACCTTAGATTGTAAGCTACTTGAGGGCAGAGACTGATGTGAAGTATAATAATATGCAAAGAACTGGGTAAATTCACGGAACTATATAAAAAACTGAAATACTGAAATAAATAAATAAATAACATAAATAAACAATGTCATTCTGTTTCAGGTGAAGGGTTTTTAGACTTAACTACCACTTTAAATACAACAGAGAAAAGTCAGGTCAACGACCTGGCTCTGTTAACCAATGGACAAAATGACAAATTATTTGCAAGCTCCTGTAAATGTTTTAAACTGTGTATTTAGCATTATGCCTTGAGTTCCAAAATATTCAGTAATAAAACTCAAGTTTATTGCAGGAAACAAATGTACAAAGTAAATGTACATGTAAACAGTACAGCAACCCACATCAAAGATATTTAAAAATTGCCAAATACTCATTTATCACTTGATGAGATCTCTTTGTTTATAGAGAACATTTGATGGCCAGCTTTGCCAATGGGTTTCCCAGATTGAATTGTATTTTTCAGTGGGAAAATCCAGGTATAGGAAACATCTGCTCTAGTATTAATACAGGTAATGTTTTTGACTACTGGGTGTTGATTTTATCAAAAATTGGCATAGACTTGTGAAAGATGAATTTTGCTTGAACTCTGCTGCATACAATTGATGACCTAATTATCAGGTTTTTAGCCTGAAATCCTAATTTGTATGTGCAAGTATTTTCCTCTATACCAATGACTTCGACATCACTAAACTACACAGATTTTTCTAAAAACAGGCCCAAATGCTAGCGAATGAGATTGAACCTAGGTTCAATTTAATAACTACACCCCCAGATCCATCTATGTCTGATTTGCTTTCAGTAAACGAAAATATGAAGTGATTGTTAAAGTACTGTGCACACTGCTTTATTAATTATGCCAAAGTGCAAAAAAAGACTAGTTTTAGGAGGAATTTGGAAAAATATTAGGGGAATTACAACAGTAATGGCAACTAAATCCTAACATCTACAAAAATAAAACTAGGGCAAACTGGTTTCTTGGCTGCTCTTGTTCCCATGTAGACTCTTACCTCAAACTTTCAAATTATTTGCATCTTCATAACTTCCAAGGTCTAAAATACTTGAAGTAAAGTTATGTGAAGTCTGAATGTGTACAACTAACACTCAAGTTAAATAGCCATGACATCCAGACTCCTGTTTATAACTCTCAACTTCCTGTAGAGAAGGCTGAGACCCCTACAAACTGTGGATGAACTTGTATGCTGGTAGTGAGAAGCTTTCTGGTATTGGCTCTGATCTCATACATTACTATGGTTATCACACTGATGGACTAATAGACATAGGAGGAAGTGAACTGGGAAGCCAATGACTACTAGAAGTCCAGAATGTCCCGAGGTTAAGTGTTCTTTACCACCTTGCAGAAGCTGAAGAGGTATCCACTATTTAAAGTGTTGTCAGATTATTATTTTCAGACCTCAGAAAGAAGATTAGTCTAAATAGTTAGGCCACCCAAAAGTGGCATTAGTGATAGTTGAACACTTAGAGGTTTAAATAATTTCTGGCTTATTACAGTATATGAATTAGGGACTACTCTAGCAGTAAAGTCGTCTTGACATAATTCTCTACATTTCTGCCCACCTGGAAGTCCTGCTACAGCATTTTCCCACAGTATCTACGAAATCCCATAAACCTGGCACAGAACAAACACAGAAGCTTTCATTGCTGACCTCTTCTTCCAAGAATACTAGCTGCCTGACAACCATGCTGACCCCAGAGGCGGACTGACAACTCATGGGACCCCCAGGCATAAACCTGGCAAAGAACAAACACAGAAGCTTTCATTGCTGACCTCTTCTTCCAAGAATACTAGCTGCCTGACAACCGTGCTGACCCCAGGGGTGGACTGACAACTCATGGGACCCCCAGGCAATAGGGGATCATGGGTCCCCTGTGTCCTTGCCCACACTCAAAAAAGCCTATAAAAAAGGTACCAGGGGCATTTCATGGGGACCCCTACTGACCCCGGGCCTTCGGGCAGTGCCCGAGTGCTCGAATGGTCAGTCCGCCCCTGGCTGACCCTTTTATATTTAACACTCAGTCACTGACCTAAAGCAAGAATGGGGGTAGACAAAATGTCGTGAGCACCATTAGACTTTAGTATTCATATTTAGACTTTTATTTGAGTAGACTAGGGTACCCTGAAAAAAAGTTGTGATTATATTTTGTCTTTTCATTGTCTGTGCTCTATAGGTTGTATGCCACTAATATAAGTGTTGTGTGCAACAGTGGTTAGTATGAACAGTCAGTAATTGGTTTACTTTTCAGACTTCCAAAGAGTACAAATTGCCTTTTTAGCTGGAGTATCTATAACCATAACAGCCAAATTGTTTGGTATTTCAAGAGCAAAAGACTTCCGTTATGACTGCATACATAAAGTAAGGCAAGACTTTATCGATGAAGAAGAATAATGGCCAAAAACTGAAACTCAGTTATAGAAACTGTCAAAAACTATTAGGGTTTGAGGACACACAATACAGAACTACTGCAGCAAAAGTGACAACTCAATATCCATCTTGAAGATCCTGCTTTCATAAAACAGTCTGCAGAGAAATTTACAAAGCCACCATCCATAGAAGAACTGAAGCCAACACTAAAATTCAGTTTAGGTTTAATTCGGTCCACCCCTGTATAAGTTAGATAAGGACTTATAATTTTCTCTGATGTTCCCCATATGTATGGTTGTCCAGGTTAGCAACTCTTGAAACCAGAGAGTCAGCATAATAGCCAGGCAATCACCATTTTGAGGAGGAGGTCCACAATGGCAGTCCCCAAGGGTTACATGAATATTGCTTTCTAATTCAAGCTACACTTTGCATTTGCCTAGCCTTTACATTTCATGAACAGTAGATGGCGATCAAAACTGAAAAACGATTTACAGTGAAAATAACGTATCTGAAGTTTTATTTTCTGTCATGGAACAAACTATGTAAATCAGGGAAACACAAAAAGTAAATAAATGATACTATACCCGCAACTTTAGAGTTATAAGCAACTCCCACCCCACAAATATTATTGTTGGCAGCAGCAGATACTTCCCCTGCACAACGCGTCCCATGGCTGCAATCAGAACAGAAAAAAAAACAATTATTTGCGGCAAGTACAATGTTACACATAGAGGTTATCTCAATCCCCCAGAAAGAAGAAAGTGCAAAGTAAAAATTCACTTAGCTTAGAAAATTAAGTAAGGCTGTGTTCACTTTGTATACCATAAGCAATTGTAACACAAATGCAAAGAAACAGTATACACAGTCCTTAAAAAGGAGAACTACTCTTCACAAAAACAATTTATTAGATACATATTCCTATCATTTCTGTAGTTGTTCTTAATAGAAGGTAATAAGTCCATGGATGGTATGCAATCATACCGTGCAGGTCCTACAAGGACTGGCAGCCATTGGGTTCTTCTTATATGCTCTTCCCATCATCGATCCTAAAAATATTCTTCCCAGTCCTCAGGACTCGGTCATCGTAAGGCTCACATTTAAAATACCCACTTTTAGGCCATTCCGGCCCAGATCAAGGGCGGCACAGTGGCTTAGAGGTTAGCACGTCGGCCTTGCAGTAAATGGGTCATGGGTTCGATTCCTGACCGACGCCTCCTGCATGGAGTTTGCATGTTCTCCCTGTGCTTGTGTGGGTTTCCTCCGAGTGCTCCGGTTTCCTCCGACACTCCAAAGACATGCTGGTAAGTTAATTGGATCCTGTCCAAAATTGGCCCCAATATATATATGTATGTATGAATGTGAGTAGCGGGACCTTAGATTGTACACCCCTTGAGGGATAGGGACTAATGTGAATGTTCAATATATATGTGTAAAGCGCTGCGTAAATTGACGGCGCTATATAAGTACCTGAAAAATAAATAAATAAATATTTTCTGGGCTGTTCCATTCTAATCACTGCTGTGATCCTCTCAATGAATACCCATATTTGAGTTGCTCAGCAAGTTCAGTAACTCAAATAAGGGTGGTGTCGTGATTCTAGAATAGAGCCCAAGACACAGCATCACTGGGACTAAGCACCTAGACATGTCCTGGTAAAACTGGGACAGTTGGCATCTATGATTTGAAAATTGAGAGGTGGTTCTACAGGATAAACAACCTCTGAAAAAAATATGGAATCCCTGACTATCATACTTGCAGGTACCAGACACTTAAGTTCGTCATCAAGTCGATGTCGGGGCAGACTTCTCGGATGGTTGTAAAGTTCCTTTACTACTCTCCCTTTCTTTTTCCTTTTCTTCCTTCTCAGCTTCTTCTTTCTCAACTTATTTTTATTGTTTGGTCTGTATTACGGACCTCTACTCAGGAATTAAGAATAAAGTCTAGTTTATATGGGTATTCCACCCCCAGGTGGAAGAGAGGATGTTGTACTTGAATTGATCATAGTGTTATTACCTCCTCTCCTCCTATTGTCCCTTGAATCCCTCACTTTGAGATAATATCATTCTGGTCACCTGTGTATAAGACTTACCTTTGGAAACGCCTCATTTTGATTACTGTTTCGGTGCTTTTGTACTGTTTTGTTATTTCAAATTCAATAAAAAGGTTCTAACAGAAAATTGAGAGGTATGCATAGAGATACAAACAGCATTAAAATCCAGACAAGGGTCCTAAAACTACCTTACTCTACTAGAAAATACGTTATTGTTGCTGCCTGTCACCATAGGGTAGGTTTTCACCTCACTTACTGATCTGTCTGACACCTGGCAAGTAGAATCTGCAAAATGAGGGCAAAGGCAGAAATGAGTTGGCAGAAGTTCTACCCTTCCATACATTATACGAAACTAAAGAGAGAAATGTTTGTCTTGGGTATGGCTTTAATAGAAAAAAAAAGAATCATACAAAGTTATACCACTTATTAATAAGATTAATCCCTTAAGCCCTGGAGGATTTTACCCCCTTTATGGCCAGGCCATATTTTGCTATTCGGCACTGCATTACTTCAACTGGCAATTGCGCAGTCAAGCAACACTGTACCCAAATGAAATTTATATAATTTTTCCCCCACAAATAGAGTTTTCTTTTGGTGGCAATTGATCACCACTGGCATTTTTATTTTTTATTATATAAAAACAAAAAAAACCCAAATATTTTTTACTTTCTGATTTAAAACATATCCAATAAAAAAAGTTTTAAAAAATAAATTCCTTCTTTAATTTAGACCAAAATGTATTATACTATGTCTTTAGTAAAAAATAAAAAATCCCAATAAGCGTATATTTATTGGTTTGTGTGAAAGTTTATAATGTATTTTTTTCTAATAATAGTGATGGTGGTGATCAGCAACTTATAGTGGGACCTGTATAGTGCTGAGAGCAATGTGACACTAACTGACACTGGGTGGGAACTGACTAAATAACACTGACATCTCCAGTGACACTAATACAGTGATCAATGCTAACAATATACACTGTCATTGAACTAATGATACTGGCTGGAAAGAGGTTAACATTTAAGGGTAATTAAAGGATTAACTGTGTGCCTAACAATATGTGATGTGTTTACTGTGTGGTGTTTTCACTAACCAATCATCTGTTTTTTACTTTATGCTTTGCAGTGAGAAAAAAAAAAAAAAGCACATTGCTGATGTCAATAGAGAGCTCTGAGTTGTTTACCAACACAGAACTCTCTCCTGCCATTTGCTCCTCTGATCAGTGGGTCTCGGACAGCATCGACATGTGCTGGAGCGAATGACAGCACAGCCAATGGTGCAGGTGACTACCCAGAAGAGCTGGATCATGCACATGTAAGTAATCTGGCGCAGCAGGTCCACACTGTCACCATACATGTACAGTGCATGGTCAGCAAGTGGTTATTAATCCTAAAGACTGCGTTTATCTCTGAGAAGAGTGATGTTCAAGTGTATTGTCTGAGCACTTTTGCATGGATATCCAAGTGTTTAGATGCAAATCTCAAGCATTCTACATGTGTATTGAAGTTTCAAGTGTTTTTGTTGTAGCCAATGGAAAGTACAAGGGGAGGAGATCAGTTTTTATGGTTTAAAAACAAGTCTGGGGAAAAATGTGTGAAAAAGCTTGATTTGCACATTTCTAGGCATTCTCATTCAAATCTATGGGGCAAAAAACACTCAATTCTGCCTAAAAAGTAGCTAATGTTGCCTTTGGAGCATTAGGCATCAAGCTACAGGCACCTAAGTGCTCATATGTGAAAAGCCGCCATTAAAATACATAGGATTTTGAATGTTGAGTGTTTTGGAGCTTTGCGCTACATAACACTTAGTGGTGATTGGGGCCTAAGAGTTTTCGAATGACTAGAAAAGATACATTTTATATAGTCTGTTTCTGTTGCTGTAAATGGAAATAACCAAACTGTTGGTCTATAATATATGAAATAATGAAAAAAGAAATGACAAGTAGCTATCTGGTACTATTTGCTTAGATTTTAGTTTAAACAGCACAAAGCAAAGGTAAATGTTACTACTCTAAGTATAGCATAGACGATTATCTGCCTTTACATAAAACGCTAACCTGCACTTTATTACATGGCCGGAGCAATTAAAGAGTTCATATGTCACCTGTGTACAGAGAATGTAATATTATATGGATCATTGATTTGTGAAATTTGGATAATGAGGGTAATACTTTACATATAGCTGCCATAAACATGCCTTGTAGCAGGACCTTTCACACACAATTTAACAATGTAAATTGCAATACAATTGATTACCTGGACTTTAAAAGTTCAAACCCATTAGTTACACAATTAAGTCATGTTAAGAAAAAAAAACTGATTTACTAGCGATTTTAAAGGGCGTATAACACAAGGGTTTAGATAAAGGCCAGCTCCACCAAAAATTGTAATTTCAGTTTTATCCTACTGCTGGTCTTTTGAATTACATGTTGGCTTCTTCTTCTTCCAAGGGCAGTGGGGCATCTTCACCAGAATTTTTATCTGCTCTCACCATTTGGTAAGGATCTAGAGCAGGGTTTCTCAACCAGGGTTGCATGGATCTCTGGGGTTCCTCCAGACATAGGGGTTCCTTGAGCAATGAACAATTTCTAATTCTCAACAAACACTGATATCAATTATATTTGTAGCAGTCTGTAGGGGGGGGGGGCAGCCTTCCCAATGGTCAAGAAAAGTCTTCTTTTCCTACTGACCAAAGATATAAGGGGTCCTTCCCACATTGGCCACCAATGTGTTGGAACCACCACACCAACCATAATTAGAGATGTGCACCACAGAAAAAAAAAAAAATTGTTTCAGATTAATTTGGTAAGCCAATCATTTTGCGCCATCATATCTGTTATGATAGAATGATTTGCTTTTGGAATTTGTTTCCTATATTCGTTGTTCTGAATCATTCATATTTTCGGAGTTATTTTGGAAGATTCGGATTCATTTATTAAGTCTATGTTATTTCCGCAACTTGCTTGTGACTTCGATTCAACTTGCCTGTGACTTTGGCCAATCATAACAATACAGAATGTGACACACATTATTGAACTTTCAAAACACTCTGAAGTTGCGAATGAATGAAATGAATGAATGACATGTTTTCGTTATAATTTATTTCAGTTTAATTGAAATTCGTTACTATTCTATTGTGATTGAGAGATTCGGATACACTCGAATCTCTGAATAATGACAATTTTGTCCAAATTTCAATTCATATCGAAATGAATAGCACATGTCTACCACCAATATAAGAAAGTACTTGCCAATGACCATCAATATAAGACATGCAGCTATTTTCTTTGTTGGTGTCTCTATTCATTTCATTGATGTTACCAAAAAAAAATGTTTTTTATTATAGAGCCAGCGTTGGGGGAATGGGGTTGTGTTATAAAAAAAAAAATTCGCTCTGGGTGTCAAATATGCTAGGTGAGTGACAATTATATTATATTTGAAGGGTTAAAAAAGGTTGAGAAAATCTGAGATAGAATAATTTAATGGCCTTTCAAATATGAAAGCCACTCTTGCCAAAACTTGTTTTTAGGTTTTGTACAGGGGTGTGGGATAGGTAGTACCTCTGTCAGGTGTTTATTGCTGTCTGTGGAGAGACTTACCCTAACTCCCTCTCCATTTGAAAGAATGCCATAAGGACAGAAAAAAACCTCTAGTGAAAAAAATGAATGCTGCAACTTAAAATACTAATTGCCTGGATTCAGTACATTCTAAATCACTGGCCTACAATAAGGAAGCAGCAAGTAAGGTCAGTGTGAAGTCTGAGCTTCTGATCAGCATACGTGTAGTCAGGGGCGGACTGATAACTCATGGGGCCCCTGGGCAATAGGGGATCATGGGGCCCCTGTGTCCTTGCCCAAACTCAAAAAAAAGCCTATGAAAAAGGTACCAGGGGCATCTCATGGGGCCCCCTACTGACCCCAGGCCCTCAGGCAGTGACCGAGTTTCCAAATGGTCAGTCCGCCCCTGTGTGTAGGTTAATGACAGAATGTTCTGAAGCCAGGGGGTTAGTATTACAGCCAGAAAACTAGCACTTTTACAGGAGGTCCATCAATGGCAGCCTCCATGTTTTCTTCACATCAGGTTTCATTTCACGTGTCTTTTTAGTTCAACTTTGTCTCTGTGTTTTGTTAGTTCAACTGGATAGTTTGTAGATAACACAGATCTGTTAATTTTACATGGAAACTGAAGTACTGGAACAAAAGATCATGTTCTGAATCTGTAGGGAAGAGATTTAGGTGTAATACAATAGAATACAGCAGAGCGATGCAGGATGTATAGACAGGGCTGCTTTTATACAAGGGGAAAAGGGACATTTGCCTTGGGCTCAGAGGTAAAAAGGGGCATCCTTACTGATCTGCAGAGGTTTGCCATTGTTTTTATTGGTGCCAGTGACTAAAATAAATTACTGTCTTTCTCTATAGTACACTGTCAGGGGATTGACTTTTCTATTCTGAAGATTAGCAGCCAATTGTTGTGACTGCTAGAACCTTCAGGGCCCCTGTGCAAGTTACCATAAAGGGCCCCCCAACCACCAGGCATGGGTCCTTCCCTCCGAGCCCAGAGCCCTTCCCACTGATCCCAGGACCCTTTACTTCCCTCTCAGGCCCTTTATTATAGCGGCCCGAACACCAGGGCCTAGACACAAGTGCGACCTTTGCAACCCTGGTAATTGTGCCATGTGGCGTCAGTAGACTGTGAATAGTGTCAGTCAGTAGAGCAGTGGACGGTGTCAATATGGCAGTGGACTTTGTCAGTAATGCAGAGGACATGCTCAGTGGGGCAGCGGATGCCGTCAGCAGTTTTTAATTTTTGTTACTTTATTTTGTATTATTTTGTTCACAATTTTATTCTTTATTATTGTGGGGGGGCTTGGTGAGATATCAGGGATCTAAACAGACCTCTGGTGTTTCACCTTTGAGACAGAGAAAGGAGACTGAGGACACAGCCCTCAATCTCTGTCTCTGCAGTCTCAGCTGCATAGAATGAATGTACAGGAATAGCTCTGTACAGAGCTTCCCACTCATTCATGGTACCGATCACTCACTGTGTCTATTCAGAAAAAAAAGGGGACGGTAAGTGACATATTTACTGGCCCCTTCCCCCATTCTCCATCCTGAAAGCATCACCTGCAGCAGCCAACGGGAAAGAGTAGGGGGGAAGTTGGCAGCACTGCGGGAGGGGGCAGGGAGCACACGGGGCAGCTGGAAACAAGTTTCCTGTATCATACAGGGCCAGTGGAAGGATTTTTAGTCCACACAGGCGAAGGTACATTGTGCCACTCCCCCCACCATCCTCCCACCAAACATGCCACACACAGTAATACACCTCCTGTATGAAAGTGCCCCAGCTCTGGATAAAGGAGCACAGGGGCATCTTCAGTCCTGGGGAAGGGGAGTGTTAAATGCAGTAGCAGATTTAAATACACTAACAAACTGAAGCCAAACTCCAGCTAACACTTTATAATCAGTTTCAGCAAACAGTTTTTTGTTCCATTTGGATAATGGTTTTACATAAATAAATCAAAACTGATCATTGTAAGCACCCCTGTCAGTAGGAGATGGTTTATCATATCCCTCTAACTGCTACATCTGCAGGAGAGCATGTTCTGTTGAAAAGAAAAGCAGACATACTGCCTGGATCACCAAATGAAAATAAAAGAAAGAAAGAAAAAAAAAGAAAATTAATGCAGCCATCACTTTTAAGAAGGGTACCCGGGCAGTGTAACAGGAAGGGGGCAGTGTGTGAGACAGAAGAGAGGGGGCAGTGTGACAGGTGGGGGGTAGTGTGACAGGAGGTGGGCAGTGTGACCAGAGGAGGGCAGCAGGACAGGAGGGGGGCAGTGTGACAGGTGGGGGGTAGTGTGACAGGAGGTGGGCAGTGAGACCAGAGGAGGGCAGCAGGACAGGAGGGGGGCAGTGTGACAGGTGGGGGGTAGTGTGACAGGAGGTGGACAGTGTGACCAGAGGAGGGCAGCAGGACAGGAGGGGGGCAGGAGGGGGGCAGCGAGACCAGAGCAGGGCAGTGTGACCAAAGAAGGGCAGCGGACAGGAGGGGGGCAGTGTGACCAGGGGGGGTAGTGTGACAGGAGGGGGGCAGTTTGACTGGAGGGGGGCAGTGGGACAGGAGAAAGGCAGTGTGACCAGAAGGGGGCAGTGGGACAGGAGAGAGGCAGTGTGACAGGAGGAGGGCAGCGTGACCAGAGGAGGGCAGTGGACAGGAGGGGGGCAGTGTGACCGGAGGGGGGCAGCGAGACCAGAGGATAGCAGTGTGACCAGAGAAGGGCAGTGTAACAGGAGGGGGGTAGTGTGACAGGAGGTGGGCAGTGTGACCAGAGGAGGGCAGCAGGACAGGAGGGGGGCAGTGTGACCAGAGGGGGCAGCGAGACCAGAGGATAGCAGTGTGACCAGAGAAGGGCAGTGGTACAGGAGGGGGGCAGTGTGACTGGAGGGGGGTAGTGTGACAGGGGGGAGGCAGTGTGACTGGAGGGGGGCAGTGGGACCAAAGGGGGCAGTGGGACAGGAGAAAGGCAGTGTGACCGGAGGGGGGCAATGGGACAGGAGAGAGGCAGTGTGACCAGAGGGGGGCAGTGGGACAGGAGGGGGCAGTGTGACTGGAGGAGGGCAGTGGAACCAGAGGAGGGTAGTGGACAGGAGGGGGGCAGTGTGACTGGAGGGCGGTAGTGTTGCAGAAGGTGGGCAGTGTGACCAGAGGAGGGCAGCAGGACAGGAGGGGGGGCAGTGTTACCAGAGGAGGGCGGCGAGACTATAGGAGGACAGTGTGACCAGAGAGAAGGGCAGCGGGACAGGAGGGGGACAGTATGACTGGAGAGGGGAGTGTGACAGGAGGGTTGCAGTGTGACTGGAGGGGGGCAGTGGGACCAAAGGGGGGCAGTGGGACAGGAGAGAGGCAGTGTGACTGGAGGGGGGCAGTGAGACAGGAGAGAGGCAGTGTGATCATAGGTGGGTAGTGGGACAGGAGGGGGGCAGTGTGACCGGAGGAGGGCAGCGGACAGGAGGGGGGCAGTGTGACCAGAGGTGGGTAGTGTGACAGGAGGGGGGCAGTGTGACTGGAGGGGGGCAGTGGGACAAAAGAGGGTCAGTATGACCAGAGGGGGACAGTGTGATGTCAGGGTGGGCAGTGTGACAGGAAGGGGGCAGTAAGATAGGAGGGGGGCAACGTGACAGGAGGGAGGGCAATGTGACAGAAGGGGGGCAGTGTGGCCACATTTTGCTTCGTGACCACAGCAGAAATTGTACCCTCTGATGCTTTTGTTGGGTGCTCTGCAAGCTCCTTACAATCGCATGCAATGCACGTGGTAGAGGCTTGGTAGTCCAGAATTTAGGGAGTTAATGCAGGTATTGAGGAGGCAATACAATGCTTTCTCCCTGTCTGTCAAATATGTATGAAGAAGGAACAAAATGCAGATCGTATTTCAGACAGCAATGCACATGTAAACATGCCCTAACAGGGCAACAGAGGACATGAAACACGTTCAGCTACTCAAAGTGGAACTACACTGCATCTGAGCACCACAAACCAAAAGCGCTATTTAATTTATTTGTAATATTCAAAGCAAATTCACCGATCCGTCCATGCCTATATGCTTTATTTTGCGGAGAAATCACTTTAAAAAACACCCTCTAGCATTTCTGGCCTTTGTCATCTTGAAAAAGGGCAGACGATTCATGTAGCAATGACTTCCTGGAATCCATCTGCCCTTAGCTCAGACATGACGGCATGAGGGTGGGCTTAGCTGAGGAAACTCCTCCTCTCCTCCTGAAGACTCCTGGGATGTATGACATCATTTGCCTAGGCCTGGAAACCAGGAAGTAACTAAAGAAATGTAAAAATCTGTTTAAAATAAGTAAATATGATATACTTTCCTATCCATTCACTAATGCTAGCAGCATACGGATATAGTCAATGTTGACTGAAAGAGTGAAGTTCCACTTTAGGTTTATATCGAAAGGTATAAAGAAAAGGCTAAACAACTACAGATATATGTATGTATGTCACGAATATCCCAAATTTCCAGTACCTGTTAAACCAGTCATCAGTGTAGCGGGGATATGGATAAGGGTCATTGCTGCTGAAGTCATAGCTTGCCTCTGCATTCTGAAATTAAAAAGCATACAATTACAAATACAGAGATAAACCTATTTGAGAACGATTGAAGGACACGATTTTTTGAGAGAAAACACGGAGGCTCCTTCTGTTGACTTTCGTTTGCACATACCAATTGTTTGGCTGTTATGTTGGCCTTTTGGGTTCAATATTTGAGGTCATTGACTTGGAACAATCATGCAGATAAGACATTTTCTGGTTGTTCCATGTAAGTGACTGGGAAAGTAATAAAGCTAGCGAGTTATTAGAATAGCTAGCCATCTAGCATTGTAGCACTACTTCATAACCTTCAGGAAAATATTACTTTAGGCTCCATTCACACTTGTGCGAATTGTCATGCAACTTTGGACACATAAAGACGCATGACAAGCCACATCTCACTGTTTTAAATGGCACTACCTGTTCGGATCTATGCAACTTAAAGTCGCAGTGACCTTGAAAAGGTTCTTGCAATCCTTTGATGCAACTTCGATGCAACTTAGTGCCAGAGAGTATAAAGTCGGATCAAAGTCACATCAAAGTCTCACTGGAAATTGTGCAACTTTGGAGTGCACAAGTGCGAATGGAGCTTTAAAGCAGAACTCAAGCAAAAAGGGGTTCTGTAACTTAATTTTTTTTTTACCTGGTTTTGACAGGTATCTGCTCCCACTTAAGGTCAAATCACCACAGCAATCCAAGTTCGCCCCCTCCTTCTCTTGCAGCATTCTGGGACATGTCACAGGTCCCAGAAAGCTGTGGGACCATTCACAATGCTCAACACAAGAAGTCACAGCCAGCTTCTCAAAGTAAACATGCCGGCGCCTGGATCTAAAGACAGCCGAAGGGCCAGCATTGGTAAGGACAGCACTGGATCCATGGACAGGTAAGTGCCTTATTATTTAAAGTCAGCAGCTACAGTTGAATCATGTATGATAGTTGAATCATGTACGAATTAGTGTTTCAAAGCCAGGCTAAAAGTATTTGATATTGTTCAAGGGATGGCTAACAACTGAGTAAGTTCTAAAGCCTAGTACTTATTATGCTGGCTGCAGATTTAAAGGGGCACTGCCACCTTTTTATTGCTGTCAATGTCTACAAAGAAATGTTCTGCTTGTGTGTGTATATATCATTTAACTAATTACACATAAACCTCATATAGTATATTCATTACCCACTTGCCCTCCAGAGGATTTACCCTCCTTTCTGACCAGGCCATTTTTTGCGATACAGTGCTGCGTTACTTTGACAATTGCGCGGTCATGCAACGTTATACATAAATGAAATGTATGTCCTTTTTTCTCCACAAATAGAGATTTCTTTCAGTGGTATTTGTTCACCTCTTCGTATTTTATTTTTTGTGCTCTAAACAAAAAACGGCAGACAATTTAAAAAAAAAAAACATTTTTGACTTTTTGCTATTAAACATGTCTAGTCAAAAAAAATAAAAAAATGAAATTTCTTCATAGATTTAGGCAAAACTGTATTCTGCTACATGTCTTTGCTAACAAAAATCCCAGTACATGTAAATTAATTGGTTTACGTGAAAGTTAGAATGTCTACAAATGGCAATATATATAATGGAATTATTTTTTTTAATACCAGTAATGGCGCCAATAAGCGACTTATAGCAGGACTTCAGGATTGTGGCGAGCATTGTGACACTGGGGGGCAAATGACTAACTGCAACTGATATCCCAATGACGCTAATACAGTGATCAATGTTAATAAAAAGCACTGACACTGTACTAATGACACTGGGCAGGAAGGGGTTAACACCTGGGGCGATCAAAGGGTTAATTGTGTGCTGCTTTACTGTGTGTGCTGTGTGTGTTTTACTAGGGAAACATACTGCTATGTATTTCTCTGTTGTGCAGAGAAATACACAGCAGCATGTCCTTGCTGGCAGGAGAGAGACCTGTGTTGTTTACACAGGTCTCTCCTCTGTCAGTGATACTCAGCGATTGCCGGGTATCGGTGGGGAATCTACAGGTGACTGACACCTGTAACCAATGGTGGCACAGGTAGGGTGGCGCGCATGCACCCCTAACCTGGAAATGCAAAATCACGTATATATATATATATATATATATATATATGTAATTTTGCACAGCTGTGCCGCCATATAGCAGTAGTTTGGTTATAGAGCAGTCGGGAAGCCATTAATATTTTCTAAATTAACAAAATGCGTATTTGTCTTATGGAAACCCCTAAAATTACCATCACTTCAAATTCATGAAATTAGAATCAGATGCCACAGGTTAGGAGTCAATAATAAGAACCTTCTTAGGGAATATGCAGATGGATCCTGTCTTATTTAAATCTTAGAAATCTAGAGTTTGGTATTCTCTCTGCTATTGACTTGTGTGGTGTTATCAGGCCATCAAAGGAGTTCTCTAAGGTTCCCAGGAAAATAAATTGTGGATTCTCATTAGTCTGGCAAGGAATTTATACAGATAACCAAATTATGTGAAAATAATCATTCCACTGTAAAGAATTTACGTTTCCCAGGAATGGCCAGACCAGCAAATCGAACCCAAGAGCTGACCGATTGAAAAAAGAATTCTGAGCTGTCAGTGTTAATGCAGCCTGTCCACCAGTCTGGGGATCAGCAATCCAACTCTTCTCCCTCTTCTCTCTGCAACATTTCCGGGACAGACTAGAATGATTTTGAGCGCCTGCATAGTGAATTGCTTGGGTCGGTCCCAGAAGCACTGCACAGAGAAGAGTGGGGATTTCAAACCACTGGACTGGCTGTATGGGCACTGACAGCTCACAATCTCTGGAGGTAAGTGTAACTGGGGGGGAGGATGGGTGAGAGTGTAGGATGTTAGTTCACCTTTCATTTTTTTAAGTAAAGACATCAATATTATTGAATAAACAGGTCTTAAGCCGGAATAAAAAAAACATTTTGGGTCTGTGCAGGGTATAAAGAGATGAAGTGGTTGAAGTGTATGTAAAATCTAGTAATGAACTTCTCTTATTTACTCTCCTTTGGTTTGTTAAATATTCACCGGGTCACATGAAAAAAAAAAAAAAGACAGGCTGGCTGTTCTTCAGTTGATGGATTGTAATTCAGTTGGTTCCTGCTGAAGCGGCCAAATTTCAGTCTACCTATAGCCCTAGTTCTTATCCCGGAATACAAAGTGCTTAGTATTTACGTAGTAGATTTAAGGGTGGGAGTGTTGGCATACTTTAGCAAAAGAAGACTGGTAGGGCTGACACCAGTCAATTCACAAATGTGCTGTGTGTTGTCAACAGGGCCAATTGCATTTCTGGCAGATCCACAAGCATTTTTCTGTATCTGCAGAGTCTTTAAAAGGATAAAACATTGGGAATCATATAAGTATTTAAAAGACCTACTGCATTTTTATTTCTTAATTTTGCCTTGACATACACTTTACATTAACAATGTATCCATTGTTTTCTTCATGCTTCACTATTTGTTCCAGAGGGATGAATATAATCTCTTTATGGCTTTGCAGTCCTCAAGGGATATATTGTTCTTTGGGAACAAAAGGCTAAATGTGTGAGTGGGAACTAAAGCAGGCGTTGTGTGCTATCACCTGTTCGGATTTACAGGTACATGAGTAAGAGCAAATTTTATTAAAAATGACAAGCAGATATAGTAATGTAGAAATGATATACTATGTGTGTTTTTCATAATTAAGAGGAGTTCCTTAGAATAGAGACACACATGTGGGTATCCTGCAAACTCACAAAAACCACAAGCTATTAACTATAACTACCAACCCATCTGATAGTCTTTTCCCTTTTATAATAGGATCCTCTGAGGTCTGGACACCCACTGGACCCCTACTGACTTCTGCATCAAAACAAAAGAAGATACAGATGCTGTAGCTGCAATAGGGCCCCTGAATAACATCTGTTCCCTCTTATGTACCAGCTGAAAGGTTATACAGTATCTTGAAAAAATATTCATACCCCTTGAAATTTCCACATTTTGTCATGTTACAACCAAAAACGTAAATGTATTTTATTAGGATTTTATGTGATAGACCGACACAAAGTGGCACAAAATTGTGAAGTGGAAGGAAAACAATAAATGGTTTTCAAAGTTTTTTTACAAATAAATACCTGAAAACTGTGATGCGCATTTATATTCAGCCCCCTTTACTCTGATACTAAAGGAGAAATTCTGGTGCACAGAGGTGAGGTTATTCCAAAATAATACAGTATGGATTATGAACAAAATGTCAGATGCCTGAAAGGTAAATGACATATGTATATGTACCTTTCAAACTTATAACTCAGAGCTGGAAACAGGCACGGGTTAAATGAATTAACACTGTTAAAAAAAAAAAATCATATATTGTCCTTAGCCATAATCAAGTCTTTAAACAGTATCTGGGATACTGAGTGTTAAATAACGGCTGCCATCCTATACAGCAAAGCCAACTCTACATGCAAAGACAAAAAAGAGAAAAACAGGAGGCGCCAGTCTAAATCTAGTAATTCGATGCTTTATTTAATAATATAGGATTAGAACACTCACATGAGGCAAGAAAATAACAAGCTCATCTGTGTAGGGGGATGTGGCCACTCCTCTCTGTCCTGCAGATACCACCGGTCATACACCTAGGGTGCCATGGATGTAAGCTGGGACAGTGTGGAGCCGTGTATGCTGGTTGGGAGATAACCTGTATGTCATGGGGTGCAGCAGAGCCGGTCCAGTGCCATCTGGACCAGGAATAATCCGCGCTGAGAAGCGTGGAACGCACTGGCGGAAGTGACTTCACCAGAAGAGGCGGACAGCTGGATGTGGAGCACAGAGGATACCAGGAACACAGGCAAAGAACATAGGCTTTTTGCTCTTAGTTTCTACCGTTGCCACATTCTGTTTTGATCTTCATCTAGAAGCTACTTTCCTTTCTCTGTTCTGAAAAAAATCCTGTTTGTTTCACCATGTCCATTCTCAAACTCTGATACCCCTAACTAAAATCTAGTGGAACTAATTGCCTTCAGAACTAACCTAATTAGTAAATAGCATCCAA